GGCCGGTGGTGCGGGTGACGGGCGCTGAGAACATCCGCAAGATCCTACTGGGCGAGCACACGCTGGTCAGGACGCAGTGGCCCCAGAGCACCCAGATCATCCTGGGCTCCCACACCCTGCTCAGCTCCATCGGTGACCTGCACCGCCAGCGCCGCAAGGTGAGCCTCGCCACCGTCCCGACCAAAAAATCCTGCCCAGGCTGCCGTCTCGGTGGCCTGTGGGGCCCCCCACTTTAACCACCTGCCTCTGTCCCCCTCCTCTTCTCCTAGATCCTGGCCAGAGTGTTCAGCCATGCTGCCCTGGAGAGCTACGTGCCACGGATCCAGAAGGTTGTGAGCTGGGAGCTGCGGGGCTGGTGCATGGAGCCGGGCTCCATCGCAGTTTATTCCTCCACTAAAACCTTAACTTTCCGCATTGCAGCTCGGATTCTGCTGGGGCTCCGCCTGGAGGAAAAGCAGTTCAAGGACCTGGCCAAAACTTTTGAACAGCTGGTGGAGAACCTCTTCTCCCTGCCCCTCAACATACCCTTCAGTGGGCTGCGCAAGGTACTGCTGCCTGCCCTGCTCCCTCTGCCTGGGGGCAGGGGCCTGGGCCCTGGTGGCACAGACTCTTTGTCCCCAGGCCCGTTCAGGGACACTTCCAATGGGCCAGGACATCTGCAGCACCCCGTGCTGGGCCTGGTGTCTTGCCCACCCCAGCCGTCTTCCCTTCTTTCTGCACTTCTCACCTGCTCCTGGTTGGCTTCCAGCACCTCCAGGCGCTGGCTCCAGCTCATTGTACAGTGCAGGACACCTATTCTCCCTCATCCCATATGTTGCCTGTTTTGACTCTGGTTAGTCCATCACATCTGGTCCTGTCCCATCTCATCCTGCCTGGACTCATGTCAGCCAATGGTAGCGGGATCTGTGGCACAAGGCAGGTGGGCACAACAGTGCACTCACTCCCTGTGCACCTCAGGGAAGGCTGAGGACTTGAGATCCTCTTATGGTCCTTGGTCTTTTGTCTCCCAGCAGCAGAGAGACAGCAAGGGATCCTGGAGGGAGACATAGCAGAGGGACAATCTCCTCTGCCTCTTTCAAACCGCAGTCCTGCCCCTCTTTGCTTACCTCCTCACACTCCAGCTCCATGTATCAGTCCCACCCCTCCTCTCCCATTTCAGTCTACGTTCACTCCTCTGGCTTGGGGTTCTCCACCCTTGCCACAGCTCGGGTGTCCTGCCCCTTTTAGCCAGGTTTTGCTCAGTCTCTTGTTTCCACTGTGAGCTCTGTCCTACTGAATCACCTCACCCAGGCAGTCCTAGTTCTCCCCTGGCCTCCATGATGCTCCACCAGTTGAAAGCTTCTGTTTTCCCTGTCCAGTTGCCCTTTGCAGGTTGTCATCAGTGTGAGCTTTCACCCCCTACCCTATCCTTTCCTGCACTCTCTCTCTTGAACTTGCATTTAGGTCCTCTTGTCTTTCTCCTTGCTCCTTGCCCTGTTTCCTTTGTCCAGTCCTTCCTACCTCAAATCTCAGCCTTTTTATCTTCCCAACATCTGCTCATGGCCATTTTTCATCCCAAATCTCTGGTCCTTCTGGCTTTTGCAGGAGGCATCTTGATATAGAGCCACATACTCTGTGACTCCATCCATCCCACTTTGCAAAAAGATTGCTGATCACTTGACTTGCTGAGATTTTACCTAAATGTTTTGCTGCACAGGAGTGCAACGCAACTGGAGATGAGCTGGGTGTGATTAATGTGTCTTTATCAACTATACTCTGGTGAAGCCGCTCATTAATTCCTGTCTCAGATGTGCCTTGCTGCTTGGACTCAGTTTTATTAAGTTACCTCTTTTTGTCCCTTTGGACAAGTTTCTTTTGGACCCGACACAGATGCCTCTGGACTCGGTACCGTGGGTTTACTGCTGTCTTTTCCCCTCAGAGTGCTTCTTAGGACTTGTATTTGATTCACAACAGCAAGGCAACAGAAATTGCAGCAGTTCCCCCCAAACTGCTGCCTCTTCCAAAGCTCTGTGGCTGGGCAACAGATTAAACTGGTTTTGCTGTTACAGATGCTGGGATTAAGGATTGCCACACTTGGGGTCCCCTGGTCTCTCTGGGCAGGGGGGCAGTTCCTAAGGCGCTCCTGAACCGTGTCTGCCTCCCACAGGGAATCAAAGCACGGGACATGCTACATGAGTTTATGGAGAAGGCTATACAGGAAAAACTGCAGAGGAACAACCCAGAAGATCACAGTGATGCTCTGGATTTCATAATAAACAGTGCCAAGGAACATGGCAAAGAATTCACCATGCAGGAGCTAAAGGTAAGGACAATTCCCCCCTTGCAGTGTCCCTTCTGACTCAGTGGCTGTTCGAGAGACCTGGGCTGAGGGGCAGGAGGAGGGTTGTGTGGGGACCCACCACCAGCCGCTGGCTCCTGCCCTCCTCTTACCAACTCTGAGAACACCGTCTCCAGTGCAAGCGAGAAAGCCTGGACTCGGCATGCTCATAAACTCTTGTCAGGTTTTGTCTCTGCATTAGAAGAGACCTGGTATTGAAAAAGGGACTAAATGCATCTTCTACCTTTCCTCTTCATGGCCACCAGGCTTCAGCCTGCCTTAGGATGCCAGTAGAGTTATGTGGCTGAGTTATAAGGCTCTGTACATCAGTGTGCACTCAGTAACCTCCAAGGTACTCTTTTGGAAATATTTAGAGCTATTCGTGTGCTCCCCAAATGTCCCCCAGGCTCTGGCATAGCATGGCGTGTAGATCATGTCACCATATTCCTTGGGGCTGTGAGACCAGAAATCTCTGTGATGATATATCAAAATGGGTCCGGGGATGGAATGATGAATTCCAGGTCATTCCCCATCACCTCGTCATTAATTAGATTATCTAGCTTGTGGATTGCTATGATGCATCACTATGACTTAGGGATGAACCCAGCAGTCCTTTACTGAAACAAAACTACCAACTGCATGTGAAGCGTATTTTGCCAAAGATCTTGGGAAAAAATTGTCATTGTTAGTACTGCATCATGCATCGCTCTAGGTCACTTGGTGCCAGTGAATGACAGATGGCACTGCTTTTATATAACAAGTTTTGAAGCAGTTTTGCATGGATACAGCAGCTGAATATAGATAAAAAGTATTTGAATAGAGTTTAAAAGTAGTGAACATGCATAATTTTACTGTTTATTCAGGTTTTTAAGGAAAACTATCTAAAGACTAATGTTTTATAAATATTTTGTAAAAGTGTAATCTCTAAATCTAAAATATTTGAAAGACTTTACAGCTATTAGATTACTATTAGATACAATTAAAACCTGCATATATTCTTGAAGTAATTTTATTACAAATATTTATTATATTATTTCTTCTAATAGAATTATTTTTATTATAATAATTTAAAAAATAATTTCTAGATTCAAAATGTGATTGATGAAGATTGATTAATCTCTGTTAGTATTCACTTGATATTACACAGGAATAATTACATGATCTCTCATCATGTCAGTGGCTCTGACCACAAATAGAATAACAGGATATTAAATGTAATGTGGACTGCTATGGCAGTGACCTCAGGTCAGCTGATTCAAATGATAGTCTATTCATATGCTGTCCTCTACCTTTACAGTTAGAAAATTTCTCTCTTGTCTGTATTTAACAAAATGACTTGCAAACTGAACTGCATATGCTTGCAATTACGGCAATATTCTCCACTCTAATAAAACAGTAGTAGAGCTCTCATTCAGTGAAATGGTGTAATTGGATAAAAAGTCCAAAGCTGTCTCAGAGTTGTGGATGTCTGACTTTGAGAGATGCTCCAGACACTAGTTACTCATTTGCTTTTTGTTCAAATGATTTTGAAGGACTGTTTTCCCAGAAATTTTCCTAAACACGCTGTTGATTTGCACTGCTGGCATGAACTCAGCAGAACCCTTGAAATGTAAAGGTCATTAAAAAGATATCACTTTGCCAAAAGTACTGTTTTAAAACTTGGAAGGATTAAAAAAAAAACCCCTATATCACTGGCTGGATGGGTGGAACCTTAATGCCACTGGTCCTTTCTCCCAGGATGGGAAGTTGGGCTGTAGCACAGGGACAATACTGGTGAAGCTGTGGGAAGATGCTGCCTCCCAGTCACTGGTTATGTTGGCCTTGTGAAAACAGGGAGGGAAAGTCAGCAGCTCAGTGTCACAACTTACCTCGCAGTGCTGTCAAAGGTTGATGCAGGGAGTCATAAGGGCTGCTATATCAAATTGTAGAGCCTGCCCTAAATTCCTTGCACGTTATTGAAATGTCTTGGATTTTAACAAGTGGTGGAACTGAGAGATTTCTTTTAATCTGGGTCTGCTATCTTCTGAATGTGAAAATTCCTGCTAACGCCTGCAGGAGGTGTGGTAGGGGTCGACGGGGATTTGTTATTTCAGAGGTTTTATTTCAGCTGAAAGATGCCCTTGAGAACTGCACTTTGGCAAAAGCCTCTAGTCCAGCCAATATGCGTTGCTGGGGATGGTAGCAAAGAGTGATTCTTGTTACATTAGCCCTAACCTTACCAAACTTGGCCCCAGGTACCTTCAGGTGTCCTTCCCTGTGTTTTTTGCTTCACCTCTCCAGAAACCAGTTGTGTCAGAACAATTTTAAATCCAGACACAGAGCTGTGTGAAAGGAAACTGCTGTTTCTCTGAGGGCCTTTGCTCCACTTTGCCCCTGGGCTGGAGCGATTAGTGCTCACCAGTGCCAGCCACTTCCCAGCCTCTCCCAGGGTGGCAGCTCCCTGTGCTCCTCCCTTGGGCTTCTCCTGTGGCTTTTGGGTCTGGTCTCTGGTCTCAGTGCTCTCAGCCCAGTTTACAAAGCTGCTGGCACCTTCAGATGGTGCTGTAGGTTTGAGCACTACATTTGCTGTCAGAGACATGACATGCCATGACCCAGGTCTGGGCAACCCTTAACTTTTGGAAAACAATTTCCAAAAGTTGATCACAAGGTGCTGCAATCAGCCCACAGCAACTTGGCATGTTCTGTGCCATATAGACTCTGCAGGTAGTCCTGGAAAGACTGGGAGGCTGTGTGAGGATCTGTGAGCCAGGACAAGGCACGTATTATGGATTTGACTGGGCTGTGGTCTGTCTGAGCTGTTTAACCTCCTAACTTGTTACGGACACATCTGCTATGGAGCTGTCAGGACCACTGCTGTGCTTCATTTAGGCTATGAAGCTTGAAAAGCAAGTCCTTTGCCTGGTGTGTGCAGCCCAGCAGGAGAGCTCCTTGCCAGCTACAGCACCTCCTGGGCTGAGCTGCTATAGCAGGGAGGTCCTTCTGCTTTCGACTCTGTTGGTTTGAGTCCCTTTCCAGACAAGCAAATGGTCGATTATAACTGGGGGTGGGTCAAATGCAACCTATTTTAGCTGCCAGTGCATCTGGGATTTGTGTGTAAACATGCAACCTCATAGCCCCTGGCTGGGCAGAAAGGTAAAAGCTGGGTGCAAAGGGAAATTGGCAGATGAAGGTAAAAAGCGTAATGCTTGAAATGAACTTCACTCAGTATGCTAAAATGCATGTTAAAATGCTTCTTTAAAACTTGTAAATTTTAAGAGTAAAGCCTAGAAGAGCTGAATTGGAGGTGATGTGTACTCTTCTCAGTTATGTTTCTGTGTCAGTCACTTGGCAAGTGGATGTCTAGTTCATACAGAAATGGAAGAACCGGGGTATCTTGTTTTGGTCCCTGCCAACCCAGGATGGGTGCAGGTTTGTGGAGAGCAGAGGAGGGGGGGCAGAGCCTTCTGTACAGAGAGAAAACCTGCAAAATGTGAGAACAGTCCAAATCACAACCAGTTTTAAATGGCATTCAAACTTGTCACCTTCCTTCCTCTCCCAGGAGTCAGCAATTGAGCTCATATTTGCTGCTTTTTTCACCACGGCTAGTGCCAGCACATCTCTGATCCTCCTGCTACTGAAGCATCCTACAGTGATTGAAAAAATAAGGCAGGAGCTGATGTCCCACGAGCTGTACCAGCAGTGTGAGCACTACCCTGCGGGACCCTGCCTGGACACTTGGACTGCCCAGAGCAGGGACAGCAAGAAGCCACTTCTCTACCCCACAACCAAAGATGCTCCTGAGGACCAGAGCCAGCCCCCAGGCCCAACAGAGGAAGGTTCCCCCCAGCTCCACGCCCCACTGGAGCCCACTCCCACCAAGAGCAGTCCCTGTGCTGGCCCCCAGCTCCCAGTGCCATCAGGGCGGAGCTGTCACTGCCTCTCAGACATCAGCCTGGAGAAGCTGAGCCGCCTGCGCTACCTGGACTGTGTGATTAAGGAGGTGCTTCGGGTGCTGCCTCCCATCTCTGGAGGCTACAGGACGGCACTGCAAACCTTTGAGCTGGATGTAAGTGTCTTGCACACCAGCTGGCTGCTAGGGAGCTGCTGCCTGCCACTGCCTGCAAGCACCCTGTGTCCAGGGCAGCAGCGGTGCTTGGCAGTGTAGCTCAGGAGAAGGTGGCACCCAGCAACCTCCGTGGGTCTTAGCTGAGCTGGAGAGAAAAGGAGCTGTGAAGCAGATGGGCAGTGTGGTGGGGCTGTCCCCATGCACCCCCTGCTCACCCTCCATTAGCACAGCCAGCTGCACAGGTACCTAACGCTCCTCTCCTCCCCTCTTCTCTCCTTCCCCACACAGGGCTACCAGATCCCCAAAGGCTGGAGTGTCATGTACAGCATCCGTGACACGCATGAGACGGCCGCCGTCTACCAGAGCCCCCCTGGTGGCTTTGACCCAGATCGCTTCGGTGCTGCCCGGTCAGAGGCTGCAGGCCGCTTCCACTACATCCCCTTTGGCGGCGGGGCACGGAGCTGCATCGGCAAGGAGCTGGCACAGGCCATCCTCAAGCTGCTGGCCATCGAGCTGGTCAGCACGGCCCGCTGGGAGCTGGCTACCCCCACCTACCCCGTCATGCAGACCGTGCCCATTGTGCACCCTGTTGACGATGGGCTGCAGCTCTACTTCCACCCCTTGCAGCCCAGCTGCGGCAGCGAGGCCTGAGCCAGGGGTGCGCTGCGCCCCTCAGCCCCGGAGTCAATGCCCCTCCACAGCTGAGGGGGGCAGGTCTCTGCTGCCCTGGGCTGGCTATGGCACTGGGTCACTGCAGAGTGAAACCCCAAAGGTCTTTTTATTGTTCCCCTCCCGGTGTGCAAGCCAGTAGGGAGGGTCCTGCAGAGTCCTGCTCCTGAGCTCCAGGATAAGTGTCAGCCCCAGCCCTGGGGCAAAACCCAGGGAAGCTGCTGGCACGGAGCACCCTCCCTGGGGGCTCAGCCAGCCTCTGCCCCAGCCAGGTCTCCAACCATCAGGGACTGGGAGCAAAACTCCCAGCCCCACAGCTAAGGCTCCCACAGCTTTTCTGTCCCAGGGTTATCTCCTGTGGGTGTGTTATAGGAGAGGCAGGATGAATATCCTGCACACTGTAGCTTTTAGATGTAAAAAGAGGGAAGATGGGGAGGCCCTGCAGGAAAACACGAGCTGGGGCTGCCCAATACATGGCATCAGCTGTAGCTAGAATAATAGGGTGTAAAGTGGTTTTTTATTGTAAATATTTAATCTCATTCCCGCACTTCCCATTAGAGCTGGCACAAAGGATGTGTCTCATTCACCCAGTAGTAGGAGCTGTGTATGTTGTGCCTGAGCACTGTGCTGCTGCTCAGGGTCTGCCATGAAGCCCCTCTCTGGGGTCTATGCAGGATGCGCTCCCCAGCTGCAGCCTGACCGAGGGATTTGACTGAAGCAGGGGAGGAGAATTTGGGGAATAAACATTTGGAAAAGGACATTTCTGAACATGTCTGATTTGTGGCAGGAAGGGCCCCGTTCCTGC